AGGAGGGACAGTGGTTTGATCATGTCCAGAGGAGGGACAGTGGTTTGGACATGTCCAGAGGAGGGACAGTGGTTTGGTCATGTCCAGAGGAAGGACAGTGGGTATATTGGTAGAAGGATGTTAGAAATGCAGCTGCCAGGAAAAAGAAAGAGGAGATATGGATGCAGTTAGAGAGGACATGGAGGTAGTTGGAGTGAGGACAGAGGATGCAGAGGACAGGGTGAGATAGAGGAGGATGACTCGCAGTGACGACCCCTACAGGGAAAAGCCGAAAGAAGAAGAATCGAGAGCCGACATTCAGCTTGAAATAGGGTGTAAATCATGCCCACCCGGCTAGACACTTTGTCACCCAGTCCACAAATGGTGCGTATCCATTCAGAAGCAGAAAACCAGGTAGTGGTGCTGTCAGCAGATGTCAAAACGTGTCAAAATAAAAGCCTCAACAATAAGAAAGCATCAACGTGAACTCAAAACAAAAAAAAGAATTGTGCCAAACAAATAAGATAATTGGTAGAACTAAATAAATGTTTTGGTATTAAATCAATTGTTTTGTTATTCTTCAGATTTATTTTCTGTAAGACCTTTATTTTTTGTTTGATTTGGTTGACACAATTCAAACACCTCACTTTTCTGATCTTTCTTTATGTCTGAGCAGAATGCGTACATAGCTGCCCACTGCTCCACCTGGGGGTATCTCACGTGTGAAGGGTTAAATGCAGAGAACTAATTTTGCCATTGTATGGGAACATATAATGATAACAATCTCAGACTTGACTTCACTTACCCGCTCCACGATGCGGACAAACCCTGGTATGCTGGTCTCCTGGTTACTCCTCTTGGCATTTGTGTGGAGGTACACTCCCTCCTTCTCAAATATCAGCTGAGAAAGAAGAACCAAAACACTCTAAAATAACCAGTTATTGGAAAAAACAAAGTAAATAATGACAAATATATCACAAAGTGTTGAAAGTAAGTTCCGATGTCAATAAATGTTATTTGTAAAGTCATTTGGGTTATTAAAAGTTTGGGATAACCTTTATCTTCTCAGTTGTTTTAAACAAACATGACAAAACCCCAAATGTTTCATAACACCGTGCAGGAAATAATGCTCAAATCAGTCCTTAATCATAAATATTGATGGGATCTGTCTTGATCATTTATAAATGTTAATATAGGCATGTTAACTTTGCAGCAAAACTGCAACGTTTTAAAATAAAACTCCTGACAGTTTCACAGGTGAGATCAACAAAAAAGATCCAGTGACTCAGTTAAATCACATGATCTGTGAAAAGAAAGGTCAGGAGGTCAGAAATTAACTCACGTTTTAAGAAACCTTGTGTGGACTTTTCAGTACACTTCTAACTTATCAATCTACAAGTTATAATATTTATATATTTACTCATTACGAAACCGATTTTAAAGCTTTAAGGCAGTCAAAATAGAAAAATGTGTCCAAATTTACTAGTGACACCATTAAAATAAAGGAAAACTCATAAACTGAGTAGTTTTAGCAACTTTTTACTTCAGACTGTCAGCGTTCACAAATGTAAAACCTCCCAAAGAACGAAAATGTGTAAATACCTTGAAAGTCTCAACGTTTTCCTCCATTTTATTTCGTTTCAGTCGCTTCTTCGTTCCTACAAAACAAACTGACGTCACACTTCCTGCTTAGGGGAAGTCCCACCTCCTTCATGTGACGTAATCAGTCAACGAACCAATCAGACAGCAGCGATTTTTTTCTTCATATTTATTTACTTTAAAGACCAGAAATTCACATTAATGCCACATATTAACACGTATTTTAAACAAGTTTTAAATTAGTGTTTAAATGTGGAAAATCTTAATTTATTTAGGCTCGGATGCAGTTCCAAATATTAACCATAAGATCAGCTAGTCAGCTTCACTCAGCTAACCATAAGGCAGCAAACCAGATTAAACCCGCCACCTTTTGTATTTTTGTGACTCATACCCGTATTACTTTAAGAAACACTTTTAATATCAATATTACTCGTTGTTTTCCTAAATACACAAATAATAACAGCACTGTGTGCCTTTGAATCAAGACTTTACTTGATAAACTGAAGACAACGAAAAACATTTATGGGGGAACGGGCAAAAGTGCACGAGCTCCTAACGAGAACGAGTACGTCCCGTTATCGGGCACGTGTGCGACGTGCTTCGAGTTGGTAAACAGGTGACGTCAGAGCAAAGTCAAGCTAAAGATAACTCCGGATGTCATCTGTTTACATTAAAATATTTACTAATCTCGTTGAATGCATTATTTTAAATAGAAAAAAAATATCAGATTATATTTTTCGAGTATTATAACGTTTTTTTCCGCGTTTTGCAGGCGTTTAAATATTAAGATTACGGCAGGTATTAAATGATTTAAAGTTTATAAATGGTAAATCATTACTGGTGATTTTTTTCAACATAAAACTAATAAATATCATAAAATTCGCTATTAGTTATTTTGTATTTGAAAAAAACATTTTTTTTCAAGAAGGAAACTGGCTAGTAATCAGATACTTAAAAGGTCTCATTTAGATAAAACAAGTTTTTGCTAGTCTTACGAAAAGGACAAAAAAAAATTCCACTAAATGGCTTTTATTTTGAAATTCATAACCGGAAACGCTGTGGATAATGCTAGCTAGCTTGCTGCCTATGGTGTCTAGCCTTGCTAGGGGAGAGAAATCGTGGCAGAGGGCAGAAATACTTGTGACTAGAAGAAAAATTAAGCCTGTTTAACATCTGGCACCGGGGAAGAAAGAAACAGAACAGGTAGGCAAATCTCAACCCTCGTTTTTCTCATTATTAAAGTCGGATTTTGGCTTATTTTAAAGCCTGAAATGGACGGAAATGTAACATTTCATCATGCTGCTCCACACAACAATAAACAAGAAGATACAATAACAACAGCTGCAGCCGCGGCAAAATGCATCACCGTGAAGTCCACAATGTGCAAATTTAATCGAGATTTGTGGATATTAAGAGTTATAAAATAAGCTAAACAGAGTCATTGCAAAGCGCTAACAGAAGCTAAAGTTGTTAGCATTGCATAATAATGTGCAGAGGAGGTACCTAAAAGCTGGGGTAGCTGCTACACAGACGATTCTTCTGCAAGTTTAATATCTTTACATACATCTACCTAATCGTGTGCAAACGGATGTTTGATACATAAGCAAACCTAACACAACTGAGAAGTCAACTAGGCGGCTTATATTTGTTTGTTTCCTGTTTTTTCAGGTATCACCAGCAAGTTGGAAACATCTCTTCTCTCCCCTGGCTCTCCATTGTGCAAGGACACCACCTGAAACATCATCTTAAAGTCACAGAGTGCCTCTTCCCCCCACCCTGCATCTTCATTACTGCAAAAACTGCACCAGCAAGAAACCAGTCAGATACATTGCAGCTGCCAAAGTCAGAGCTTTAAGTTTGAAGCCCCCAGATCAGCCAAATAAAATCCCACTTCTGATCATCTAATTTTCAAATCTCCCTAATTTCTTATCGGTGTTACTCATCAGGGTAAGTAGGAACTCTTAAAACGAGGACTCCGCGTTATCATGGCCTCCATAATCCATTCATCTGAGCCTGAGATCCCAGACAACCACAAAGAAAGCTGGCTGGCGCTACTTTCTGCTGCTGAAATATACTGCCAAAAATCTGGCTGTGACCTGGCCATCCTCACAGCCTGCAAGAAGTTCCGGTCACCTTCTGGAGAAGGAGAGGGAGTGAAGACCCGGGAGGGCAGCGCCGCCTTCCAGAGGGAGTGTGATTTCTCCTATAACGTGTGGGGTCCGGGATTACTGGCAGAATCAGCACGCCGCTACATGGATGATATTGGTGTGCTGCATTCCACGACCATGCTAACAGCTCAAAAGCACACACGCCAAACCGGGGAGGAGGGAGGAACTAAGCTGATGGTTGACTTGACCTCTGACCTTGGTCACAGAGGGGTGAGTGGACTGTTTTCACTTCATTCCTCATTGACTCAAACATGAGCTCACGGTCATATATTGTTTGTTTCTGTGTTGAATATGCAGAACTTGACAGGTGACAGCGGGGTGGGTGGAGTCAGTCCCAACGGCAGACTTTACTCCCAAAATTACCCGTCCATCTACAGCTCAGAAGGTGCAGCGTTGCATGGCGGCGGGCAAAACGGGAACAGAGAGAAGGGACGGGAGAGGAGCATTCTGGAGGCAGAGCGAGAGAGACAGAGGTCCGGGATTGTCAATTTGGAGGAAGAGGGAGAGGAGGCGGAGGAGGAGGAGGACATGGATGAAAGACAGCCTTATGGGAATGAAAGTGCTGGTGAGGAATCAGACCATCTGAGTTTGAGGAGATTTTTCAGTGTGTTGTTGGTCGCTTCATGTCTCTCACAATCAACGAGGAAGTGTTTTTTATCGCCCGCTAAACAATGCAGAGTGATAATGTTTTGGAGTCAAGATGGCCGCCACAGCCAGCTGACCTTACAGAGCAAACAATGGCTGTAAATATTTACACACAAAAAAAGGCTCAGATTTAGCGTGGTAGTAGCTGAGAGTCATTCCAACAGCTACTGAGCTCTTTACAAGATCTTTACCTCAAACTTTTGTTTTAGACACTGACATCAACCTTGTTTCTGTTAGTAAAATATTTCATGAACCACCGGGCTGATTTTAACGATACTCTGGGCAGTTAATCATTTGTCGCACATTTACAGCTAATAAAATTTTTGGAGTAACCCAAATTCAAGATGGCCGCCACAGCTAAACAGCATTACAGAAATTAATATAACTCAGTCAGTTTAGCGGACATAGAGCTCAGATTTGCTGTGAGAGCAGCTGAGGGTTGTCCTCAACACACTTTTAGAGCACTGCACGACTTCTAAGCCTAAAACGTTGTTACAGTCAACATAGTCTGTTAGCAAAATATCACTAACCTCTGGACGGATTTTAGTGAAACTTTCAGAAAGTAATTATTGGATGTACATCTACAATTGATTTACATTTAGAGTCGACAGAGATCAAGATGGCAGTCACAGCTAATTTACTTTGCCAAAACAAATTAACTTTAACTTACTGAAAAATTACAGATGTTAGGGTAAAGTTTATGTGGTAGTAGCTGAGAGTCATGTGGCTGTGGTGGGCGCTATGCTAGGCCTGTCACGATAACACATTTTGCTGGGCAATTGTCTCAGAAATTATTGTGATAAACGATAATATTGTTTGAAATTTGACAATAATTAGTAGTTATTGTCAAACTTCATAAGAAATGTTGGTTAATTTTTGTGTATAGTACCGTTTTTTGACCACCAGATGACTGTATGAGACTGTTTTAACCGAAGGATGGATAGTGAGGGAGCAAGCAGCGTGTCTCTTTAATAAAAATGGGAGAGAGGCCCCTTGACGTGACAAGGGCTGTTTCTCGTTCCTTTATTCAGTTGGCGGACGCTCTGTGTTCTTTTTTGCACAAAGTTTTTAATTTTAAAAAAAAATCATTAAACAAGTTCTCAGCTTCTTTTTGCAAAGAAAAACAACTTTTTACACGAAGGCACAGGTTTCAACTGTGAATTTTGGAGCTTCAACAAGACGGAGTTTTTTTTTTCCCCGAGGTCGTCCGGTTAACTTAGCTTCTCAGCTTAGCTGCTTTTAATGATCCAAAAACACAGTTTTGGACGGTTCAAACAGATTTAAAAGAGAAAGTGAAGAGCGCCGGAGTTGAGCCTTTTGTCGTCCAGTGTCTTCAGTAGAAAGAGAGAGACATGAAGAAACGATAAAGCCGATAAATGAAAACGAGGTTGATAATTTATCATGCGTTTAATTGATTTGTAAATTTGACTGCTTATCGCGGCAGGCCTATTTGTGACGTCTCGATTGTAATTCCCCTCCAGGTGTTTTCTCGATGGACGAGGACTCCATTTCTCGGGACTGTGAGCCGTTCTTTGAATCTGAAGGAGAAGAGGAAAGCACTGATGGTGAGGGATTTCTCCGACAAAATCAAAGTTTTCGTCTCTGAAGTGCGGACACAAAGCTGAGCACCGTGTGCTTGTTGTGCATCAGGTTCTTTGAGTGAGGAGGCCCCCCCGCCACCGCGCGGCATGGCTATGGTTAAGCCTGCGTTCTCAGCCCGCCACGTCCAACACCCCCTGGCTCTGGCCCGCTCCCTGCCTGTGTCTGTCCCTGTATGGGGCTGCAAAAGCACCAGAGCTGCTCAGGGGGACAGCAGCAGCGGCGAACGGGTGAGAAAACCTTTTTTTTTTTTTTTTTTTTTGATGAGCGCTGCTGGTTCGGGTCATGCAGCTTCACAAAGTTAGATCAGTGAGTGAGTCGGATATGCTTTCTGTTCTTTTTTTCTTTGACTAGATGCAAACAAGAAAAATAAGACAAACCTCTACAGAATCCTGATTGGGGCAAAATAAAGACAAAGTTTACATGAAATATCAAATAATTAGAGCAAAAACAACCATAATGTTTGTGATGATTTTCAAAAGGTTACAAAAGTAAGTTTATTAAGAAGGTGAGGTGGCTTGGACTTGTGGTCACTTCTGTTAGTAACTAATATGTTAGTTACACACGAGCGATGGTATGTTTCTGCTTCTAGGACGAAAATGTGGCCGATACTTACCGACGTGAAAAGATCAACTAAACACTTCTTGAATAATTCTCTCAATTAATTTTTTCATATATGATTAGAACAGCTGGTTTGGTTTTATTTCTTGACGTTGCAGTTTTTGCAGCCTTGCATGATGTTGGCTCCTGCTGATGACACCAAATAGTTTAATTTATTTTCTCGAAACTAACTGGAAACTAAACCATGAAATAAAAACAATCTGCTTCACTTCACAAATGAATAAAATCAACTTTAAGTTCTAGGACTTTTTTTGAAGGACAGTTGGGCTCTGAAAAGTTCAGGAAAAACAATCAGCAAATTTAAAACGGCCTCGAAAAATCATCACGACTATGTTTCATATTAATAAACAATTTATATAAAACTCAAAGTAAACTTCAGGTTGAGCGACACTTTGTGTTTTTTACTCTTCTGTAGATAAAATCAAACAAAAATGTAGTTCCTTAAAATGGCATCTTAATGTGATGAGGAAGTGGAAATATCTCCGCTAAATACGTTTTGCTAAAACATGTCAAGTAAAGTCACATTTATTTATAAAGCACATTTAAAACAGCAGCTGTTACAAAACAGTAAGATCAAAGCCGTAATTAAAGGCAAAACACAAACAAATAAACAAGATGTAATTCAAAGCATCAAAAATAAAAACACAAAACAATGAGAAACAAATAAATACTAAATCAAATCACACTGTGTTAAATGTAAAGTTTTTGTTGTGATGGAAATTTTTTAAAATCTACCTGCAAATGACTTCGCTCAGTATAAAAATAGACATTGTTCGAAAAAATAAATAAATACAATAGTCCCTCGCTACTTCGCGGTTCGTTTATCACGGACTCGTTCTATCGCGTTTTTTTCAAAATAAGATTGGACACGACACACAACTGGCTGATTGATGGACGAGCCGCACGATTGGCATGGGATTTTTATTTAAAATAAATTATTTTAAATTATTTAGCACCTCCTGCACCTTTGTGCAGCCCAAACTGCAGGATAAACTTCCTGCTGCAGCTGATCAGCTGTTCACCGTGCAGAAAGGTGAAGTGGGCGTGGCCAAGAGCGCTTGCAGGTGGGAAGGAGCAGCGGAGGCAGGGAGCTGAAATCATGACATTCTGTGCTCTTTTAGAGCGTTTAGAGTTTAGAAACATTGTTTAGAATATTGTAAGAGTGTGGGAAGGGTTTAAAACACCTTTGCATATATATATATATATATATATATATAAAATAAACTACTACTTGTACTAGTATTCTTACTTTGCGGTTTTTCACTTACAGCAGGTCTTCAGGGTTCGGATCCCCCGCGATAAACGAGGGACTACTGTAAAGTTATTGTTGATTTTAGGGATTAATTGCTCCTGTAATATTTCATTTTGTTAAAAAAAACAACAACAAAGTTATTGTTGTCAGACACCATTCAGTTCCCAGTTCAGACATCTTCTTTTCACGTGATCGTGAAAGTGTGTAAACCTTTCAGACTCTTGTGCAGTTTGTTTCTGACGCCAACGTGTCCGTTTCAGGTGGGCTGTGCTGACCTCGAGCACATCGCCGCCAGCATGAAGGCCCTGCTGGTCCCCGGAGCCACCGACGGGACGGAGATGTTCGGGGCCCTGCCGCGGCCCCGTCTCAACACCGGCGACTTCTCCCTGAAGCACTGAGCGGGTTAGGAGCGAGGCGAGCAGAGAGAAAGGGATTGTGAGGATTGTGACAGTATGTGAAACAGTGTAAAAGCTAGTTCCTCCGTTTCTTTCTCCCCTCACTAACCAAAATTAACTGCACGTGCGTTTTCAGGAGTAACGAGTGTGAAGGAATAACACTACCACCACCTTTACTTCGGCTCGTAACATTTCCCACCACTACACGTACACTACATTTGGACTGAGCCTCAGGTTGTGTGCTTTTTGACCCGCAGCGCTGCACAGCAGCGACTCTAATCAAGACTGAAGCTGAGATTGAACATGTTTACCTGCGTTGTGACGCCCTCTCATCTGTAGCTGCTTTGTTGTTGGGTCTGGTGCTCCACGCTGACACCTCATAGTGAATAACAGCAAAAAAAAAACAACATCATTTACAAGAAACGTGGCAAATTATTGTGATTATCACAATTTCTTTTGTTCTTAAGGGTTGGATAGAAAGGCTGAAGACTCCTTCGTGCTGGCATTAAACATTAAACCTCTAAAGATCACTAATTGGCCGTGCAGACACATTTTAGCAAGCAGTCCTGTCTGCTTTTGCTTTTTTGATGCTGCAGTTGCTTTATCAGTGTTTTTGACTTGCCAGATTTTCACCAGGACTCCGGCAGATTGGTCGTCAGTGCAAACAAGTCGCCACAAGATGGTGCCGTTAAACTGCAGCCAACAAAAAGTTTAAATGGTGACAGATTTATCCATCCGCCTTTGTTAATGATTGGAAAATGTTCTAGAGTCTAAAAAATATATTATTAACGGGTGAAGAGCTTAGTTGTTGCTGTTAATGTTGCTAATATCTCAAACTATCATGTTGACGTAGATCATGGAAGTTGGCTGTAGTTGGTGATTGGCCTCTTCAAATCAGTTCTCAGAGAAACCCACGCTGGCTTTTAAGTAACTCTGGTTTAAAGGTGACACATTTAACCCAACATGTTAATTATTAAGCTGTTAGACTTGGTCCAGGCGACTTCCTGCTCCACACGCCAGTTTCAGACTGGGTCAATGATTTATTATGACGTTCTGCAGAAGCGCAACAATGAATTAAGTGTTTGAACGTGGAAACGTCGAACTCCACACCGGTGCCACGATTCTCGGAAGCCGGAGTCCATTGATGTGAGGTTTTCTTCGGTCGATGCAGATCTTTAGAAATCTGTGCAGCAGATGCAGATGCAATACAGCAACCATTAATATTTAATTTTCTTAAGTTCGCATAAACAAAAAATTTAACAATTACCCGAACTAAACGTGTGTTTTAATCCTTAGAGGAACACGGACACCTAAAAGAAGACAGACGTGGATACATTTGTTGGTTCCCCTCCATATTATTATATATAAATAAAAAACTGACACGACTCAATCTTGGAAACTTCGACGCAGGTATTTTGCTGAATTTCTGTCTTTGTTTTATTTTTTGCTAATCTTGGAGCCTCCTGGGTCTTCATGAAGCCGTTTATGGATCAGAATGAGACCGAGCAGAAAGTTGACCTCGGACTTCAGCTTGATGGTTTTATTGGCTCTTTTTCTACAGCGCTGTCTGATCAACCTGGGGTTGCATTTCCTCTTGCATCCATGTCCTGGAAAGTTGTCTACCTTCCCACGGGCCTTCTACTTTTTTAATAATCTTGCCAGCTGTGATTATAGGATCGAGAAGCTGCTTGGAGATGACCTTTAAAAGGAGAGGAAATGGTTGATAAAAAGCGTCAAGCCTCCTAAGACACTAATTAAATTTGTTTTGTTGTTTTAAACTGGACTATTTAGCAGATTAATCAACTCTAAGGGCACAAATCTGTTAATATTTAGCATATTTTTGAAAAAATAAAACATTTTTCATTCACTGTCTTATACTACAGACTTGCAGATTTTTCTTAAACACCTGCTTTTAACTGAATAGTGATAATAACAAATGACTCGTTAATAATAATGATAACCGAGTCGTCGTTTCAGTGAGCTTTGAGGGGAACAACAGATTTATCTGCGTCTGTTTTTAAAGTCGAGCGGTTCTGTGAGTGGCTGATTTCAGCTTTTTCTCACTCTGTGTCTGGATAACTGGCCAAAATCACATTATTCAGAAAGTGATGACTATTGTCCAAACAATAAGTCTATTTAAAGTCGATCGCTTGAGTGTAATTGCTTTGAATAAAACAGACCATTCAATATTTGATTTGTAGTTTATACACCAAAGGGTATTAAATCACCATTTTACTTGTTTTTTTTTTTTTTGTTTGTTTGTTTGTTTTCTGACCACACTTGCCTTTATGAGTCCCTTTTATTGATTTGAAACCCAAACAGGTGAATTTTATTAACCCAAAGCAAAAAAAGCTCATTTTTAAAGATGAGAAGTTAAATCTATAAATCACTTAAGCAGGTTGAAAATGAATCCAAACCATCAACACTGAAGGAAAATTCCTCCAATCAAGCCAGTCGATCTCTGGAACGTCTGATCATTTTCAGGACAAACGGGATTGTTTATGATTATAAATGTGATTTTTGAGGCCGCTGTAAGAAATGAGAACTTTCTGTGGGGCAGAAAAGCACCGAGCGTCACGGGTTGTGTTCAGCTTCGTACCTAAAGAAAAGAGCTGAAGGGCTTTTTTATGTTTGCTTTAATGTTTGGGAGAAAAGGCTGTGTTGTTTTTTTTTTTTTTTTTTTTTCAAAATTCTCCATAACTGATTGAAACAAGTCAGTTTGAACCATTAGCTTCTGTCTTATAACGAGTAAATGACCAACAGGCTCTTTGTTTATTTGTATTTCTCACGAGGAGCAGAAACCGTAAGAATGACGGTTTTAACATAAACCTTTTGTAAACGTGAGCAGAGGACACCAGCACCTTCTCATTACACGACTTCTTTTTATTTTCTCCAATGAATGACTGACTGATTGAATGATTGTAAACCAATTCTGCTTTCCAGGTGACGGTGTTGTTCTCTCATTTTCTTTGATGTTTAAATGCCTGACGAGAGAAGAAGTGACTGTGTGTGCGTGAGAGAGATAGAAAAAACGGGGATGGAGTTGGTTTGAAATGCGTCCATCTCTGACATTTCAAAAATAAACAAATGTTCCGTTAAATACTTTTATGTTTCAAATAAAAGAGCGACACCAAGAGAAAAGACTCGAGTTCTTGTGTGAGCCAGTACCGCGTCCGGTCTGAAGGGGGCGCTGGAGGACGGGAGGTGAGGGTGTGTTTCAAACAGAAGAAGAATTGATTGCCTACATCTAGCACAATTTAAAAATAAAATAAAAAAGATACAGACTTGTTAAATAAGGTCATAAAAACACCCAGCTTTACTTTGACAAAAAACAAACAAACCTCGTAATAAATTTACAGAAACAACTCATTTGTCTGTATCGTTGGCAAAATGTCGAAACAATAGCATTTGAGATTCAATTCAAGATGGCTGCCACAGCAGCTGTAACAGTTCATTTTACAGGAAGTGAGCTAAAACGTGGAACAGTGGTCTGCTACAGCTAACTGATGCCAACCACTAACACTTTGAGTGCTACAGTTGCACAAAATCTTTACCTAAAACTTTTAACTGTTGGCGTCAACCTTGTGTTTGTCTTTTAGCAAATTACACTGGCCAAAAAAAGTTGCCACCTGGATTTAACCACGCAAATAGGTACGAACCTCCCATTGGATAATTACTGCATGGGCGATTATCTTTCAGCTGGCAACAAGTTATTTAACCCCAACTGGTGCAATAAGTTGTTCCTCATTTCTTAAACATGTCGAAAGACGCATCGCGTGGTCGTGGAAAAGATGTCAGTCTGGTTGAGAAGGGTCAAATCATTGGCATCGAGCAGAGAAAACATCTAAGGAGATTGAAGAATCTACTAAAATTGGGTTAAGAACTGTCCAACGCATTATTAAAAACTGTAAGGATAGTGGGGACCCATCGTCTTCGAGGAAGAAATGTGGCCAGGAAAAAATCCAAAGTGATCGGCGATCACTTAAAACATTTGGTGAAATCGAATGGAAGAAAAACAACAGTAGCACCCAGGGCTGTGTTTAACAGTGGAAGTAGCATTTCCACATGCACAATGTGAAGGGAACTCAAGGGAGTGGGACTGAACGGCTGTAGCATTAATAAAAACACTAATCAGTGAGGCTAACCGGAAAAAAAAAAAGGCTTCAATTTGCTAGGGATCATAAAGATTGGACTCTGGAGCAATGGAAGAAGGTCATGTGGTCTGATGAGTCCAGATTTACTCTGTTCCAGAGTGATATGGGTAAGGAGAGGCAGGTGAAGTGATGCATCCATCATGCCTAGTGTCTAGTCATCAATGCAAGATCTTGGTGAAAAATGTATGCAACACTGGATGGAAATAGATCTTGTGACATTGCAGAAGCTTATCGAAACAATGCCACAGCGAATGCATGATGTAATCAAAGCTAAAGGCGGTAAAACGAAATATTAGTGTGACCTTTTTTTTTTTTTTTTGGTGGCGACTGTTTTTTTTGGCCAGGCAGTGAACCAGGGGGCCAATTTTAATGAAACCCTCAGAAAGTAACTATTGCTTGTACATCTCTACAACTCATACAAGATAATCGCCATAGAAACATTATCCCCACAAAAATGGCTACAACTCAGTTTTTTAGATATTGAGCTAAAACTGTGTGGTAGTAGCTGAGAGTCGCCCTCGACGCGTACTCTGAGCACTACACATTAGGCAACGTCTTTGCTTGGAACTTTGGCATTGATCGTTCTGGGTCATGTCTATTAGCAAATTATCACGTGCAACTGGACAGGTTGTAAAGAAATGTCCACAATTGACTAATGTTTGTAGTCAATCCAATTCAAGATGGCTGCCATGGCTAAACCTAACTTTGCTAGCACATAATTAGCTCTAACTGGTTCAAAATTACAGATAAGATAAAGTTTATGTGGTAGGAGCTGAGAGTCGTCGTGGACACATCCTGAGCTTTTGCACATTTCACAAGACGTAGCGGTGGAGGCCATCTTGAATTAAAACTAAAGATTTTAAGTGTTTAAAGATATTTCAGAAAAAGCAGAACATTCCACTGCTCCGGTTCTGCCTCTAAGCTCTTACACTTGTTCCCCAAGCATCACAATCCATCAACCCTTCACGCTAGTTTTCCTGAGTCCCTGCCCTCGTTTTCCGAAGAAGACAGAATGAATTTGTGCCAATCCAGAACGCAGGAAAAACCTTTTCCCCCAGTTTGGCCTTGAACTTGTGGATCAGTCGGACCTCCTCCTCGGCTTCCCCTTCCACCGAGAGGAACTTGATGATGCCGGCCGGCTGGTCGACGTAGATGCCCATGGTGGAGGATGACGGCATCTGGACGTCTGTGTTCTCCCCTTTGTGCCAGACTTGGTAGTAAGAGCCAGATGGGCCGACACCCCAGGAGGAGCTGTTCTCCCCGAGGCCGCAGGGCACCTCCTGGCCTTTCCGAGGCGCGCTCTCGAACACCACCCCCATCACCACCCAGCCGTCGTAGTCCACCTCCCAGTACCCCCGGCAGCCCAGGAGCCCTTCTTTACAAAGCACCTGGAAGAGACAAAGTGGAACAGCAAAAGAATCTGTGCACTGGTTCAAACCACCGAGGTCTCTGAGAGCTTTCAGAGTAAACTTTACCGGAGAGGGTCAAGGTAAAGCATGAGCCTAATCCGGCTTCTGAGCATCCCATAAAAACCCTGATTGTCACAGTCCTGGCAGTAAAATTAAAATGTTCCTCTGTCAAAAAGGGTGGTGATAATCTAAGCTCAGATATCTATTTTTATCAGTAATATTGTGGGACTTTGAGTCTTTATCACCTTGGATTGATGAGTTTATGTCCAAAGTCACTGTTGGAAACCAAAACGTGGGTCTAAACCAGAACCCAAGTGTTTTTTCCTTTGACCTAACTGGTTCAATATATGTTCTTCTTCAATGTAAGGATTGTTCCTGAGCTCCAGGCCTACCTGAGGTGCATGTTCATATCTTTCCGGCCTGTTGGGGTACGGGCAGACTGCATCGGCTGTACGAGCCACCTTTGAGCCGCCCTCAGAAATCCACAGCAGCTTCTGTGCAGTTTTATCGTCCAAAGACAGAGGCAACCAGTCTGAGGAGATCGTGAGGGGAAGAACAGAAGGCTGAGAGTGAGGAAGAAGACTAACGGGACAGTCACGGGAAAAAAACTACATTTTTCTGTCAATAAATTTGAAATTGAAACTAATAGTATTTACAGGTTTTTATGCTTTCTCTAGACACAACCTTCAACTTTTTTCAAGAAGAGAGCTCTGCTGAAGACTTAAAGTTTATTTGGCCAAAGACAATATAAATTATGTCTTATTTTATTTAAGATATTTAATCTAAAGAGGTATTTAAAAATGCTTACGCTTCATGAAGTCGGCTCTTGTTGTTGGCTCAGCTATGTTCGGCTCATAAGGTGGGAGTTTTTCTGGGGAGAGATGAAACATTTGAGTTATTCTGATAAAAAATTTAAAAAAAACAACACAGATCATCTTTAAGCGGTTTACCTTCTGCAGCGCTGCTTCCTTTTCTCCCTGGAAAATAAAAAAAGAAAGTGTGATTTCAATGCCGTTAGTTTAAGATGGTGTGTGTAGAGTTACAGCTTCTGCTCAGAGCTTCTCATGTCGGATTAAATAACAAAGAGCTGAAACGTTCAACACTCTGGTTATTTTAAACCTTTTCATCTTTCTCTGCTGCTGCCAGAGACGCTCATCGGCATTAAATCACTTGCTGCTCCAACAAACTGAGGATCACAGATCAGACGTTCGTGAAGAACCTTCAGAGCTGAAGGCTTCAGCAGAAAAACCCAGAGCTGGGAGCGGGTTCTGCAAACGCACTGCAGGCGTCCGGTTCCAAGAAGTGTTTCTATAAAGATGCAATGACTTCACCTAGCCGAGGGTATTTACACCATACCATACCAAACCATACCACTTTATTTAAGCACTTAAAAACAGCCGCAAGGCCAACCAAAGTGCTTTACAACAAAATAAAGCAAAGGTCACAATACATAAAATTCACAGAGGTAAAAATAATAAAAACACAGTGAAGTTAAAATCAGCTTCCACTGGATCGAAAGCCAGGGAATAAACGTATGTTTTTAAGCTAGGCTTAAAACCAGTGAGAGGGAGCCTGCCTGATGCAGTGGTAACTCATTCCACAGTTTTGGACCTGCAGCAGAGACGGTTCGGTCACCTCTGAGCTTAAAACAAGTGCCTGGAACCAATAAAAGCATCTGGCCTGCTGACCTTAGACAGCGCTGTGGGACATATGGCTGCAGCAGATCAGCGAGATAAGAGGGGCCAGAACTATTAAGAGATTTCTAAACATACAAAATGATTTTAAAATGAATTCAGAAGTGAACCAGGAGCCAGTGAAGGAAGGCCAAAACTGGAGAAATGTTCTCTCTTTTGCCTGTACTAGTTAAAAGTCGGGCTGCAACATTTTGAACCAGTTGTAATCGTGAAAAAGAGGTCTGACTGATTCCAAAGCGAAGAACGTTGCAATAATCAAGCCTGGATGTTATGAAAGCATGTATTACTGTCTCAAGGTTACTTTGGACAGTATGGGTTTAAATTTAGACAGTCGCCTCAACTAAAAAAAGAAACAGGATTTAACAATTGTGTTTACAAGAATGTTTAGTTTCATGAACGAGTCCATTTTCACTCCCAGATTAGTGACAACCTGATTCTCCAACAGAGCTAGAAAGGAAAGGTCAGTACAATGGTTCCTGATTGTGCCATTAGGCAGAAACAACATGACTTCAGTCTTCCTCATTAAATTTTAAAAATTTAAAGCCATCCAATCCCTGAAGTCAACCAGGCAGTCAAGAAGAGGGTGGATAGAGCGTGCACCAGTGTGCTTCAGAGGGAAGTAAATTTGACAGTCATCAGCATAAAAATGAAAACGGATGCGGTGTTTACAAAAAATACCGCCTAGTGGCAGCACATATAAAGAAAAGAGAAGGGGTCCGAAAATGGAGCCCTGCGGTACCCCCCATCGAAGATCTGCAGATGTTGAAATAAAATCCTTGACACAGACACAAAAGGTTCTGTCAGAGAGGTAGGACCTAAACCATTTGAACCACATTTAAAACATCCATTCATCCATTATCTTTACCCGCTTGTTCCTTTTCGGTTCGCGTGGGTCGCTGGTGCCCATGTCCAGCCATCATTGTGCGAGAGGCAGGGTACACAGTTAAACATGGTTTTTCCAAAATGATGTGTTCACTGGAGGTTCTATTTACCTATTTTTAATATTTTTTAGGGACGTTCGGATGGTTGACTGACTTTTAATGTTGCTTTAGGTTACGTTTTTTATGTCCTCAGTTGTAAACAACATGGGTGAGGACAGGTCTGGGGGTAAAATGAAGTCCCCATCTCTGGAAAACGGGCAAAGAGACAACTGCTGGAGACAACGAATCACTTCATCTTCGTCGATCCTCTGCCTACTCTCTTTCAGGGAGGAAGACAACTGGTGAAGAGCTTCATGCCAGGTTCATTTTCAGAGGGTACGCTGAATTCAAATTGATCCTAAAGTTTGTAGGACATCTGTCTGAAGTTCTGCGTGAGCAAAACGGAGGGAACGTCTGAGTGAGACATCGAGCAAGTGTTGAGCTGGATGACTGAAAATGTGCCAGAGGTGTGTTAGAGTTAGACCCCCTGTGGATGGTTGTCCAGGCTCAGGGGGGATCAGTGGAAAGCCCCGCTGGGATAAACAGATCCTTGACATGATTGATGGTTTGACATCCTCGTGTGGAGGCTAAAAGATCGAGATGCAGGGTATAAAAATATATAACAATCCTATAAAAAAACAAGTTTAGAATGATTGATCAGATTTATTTGAAGCTATTTATGGGAAGAATTCATTGTTTTCTGTTTGGATCAGCAGCTCAGCTGAAAGGTCAGCTGTGGATCTTCAGATGATTCATGAGAAATGTTAGTGTTGGACGGCCGCGAGGCAGAACTTTTTCCTTTTCCAGATTCACGTCTCAGTTGGACGGAGAGCGACATCTGTCCAGATCAGGTTCTAAACGTCTCCCTGAGACAGCAAGATCAGATAGTGAGATTCGAAGCTCATCCCTGCAGTTCCTGTCAAGTGTCAGGTCCTTCTGGCTGGAAGCCCAGCCCGGCGGACGATGAACTGCAGGGACGACGGTTCAAGGATTCCCTGAGAAAAAATGAATCCTGAAGCTTTGAAACAAACAGAAAAAGGTAAGAGTCACAATGAAATCATCATTAATCAGCTGATCTTATTAATTTATCTTGATGCTTTCAGCTGAACTTTTGATGCTAACAATAGTTGATTTATTTAGATGATTGAAAACTGAAATAAAAACCTTTTGTACCAGATTAGAGCTGTCTGAGGAGCTATAGAGGATCTGTCCAGTTCATCAATTAATGACAACGTCTGAATTTAAAGCTTATTTTGTGCAAAATATTTCAATTTCCAGCACACTTTCAGTTTAATTGTGAACTTATTTAATTTTCTTATTGTTTTAAATGAGAATTGTTCTTGTTTTACTTTATGGGTATGACACATCTGCTCATTTGATCAGATGTTAAATTTAAAAGCTTTTTTTTGGGTGTTGTCAGTACCATATTATCAATTATTTAAGAGGAAACACAAGATTGCATATTTTAAAATTAAGGTTTTCTAAAAAGCAGAGACTGAGGATGCTTTGTGGTGCGTTTTAACTCAACCAAGGAGACGTAAATAACCTAAATATGAGCTTTTGGCTCTGGTTCTTGAATTACTGTGCAGCATTTCACACTTCATTATGACAGCAGCCAAAGGAGAAATACTGGGAACTGTGCTGGCTCAGGTCATATTAGTGGTTATTAAAAGACTCCCAAAGAAACAAGAAGTTAAACAAAAGAGCTCCAAATTAAAGTTCTGATGAAGGAAAACCAGGACAAGAGTTTTCTGGTTAAACCTTACCGAGACACCGAGACCGTCACCTGCAGGGGAGATATTTGTTCTTCTTGTCGACATGATTAATGGACCGGAGAACCCTGGCAGAACCCAAAGTGAGGACGGAGGTTTGGCTGTAGGCTGAAGAATGTCAGGGAAACTCGGCGACATCCAATAAACAGCTTTGGAAACGTGTAATAAACTGGTGGTGGAACGTCCTGACGAGCAACAAGTCACCAAGTGGAGCTCTGATAGATTTGATTGGAAAAACAGCAGCTGCAGTTTTAATCTGTGGCGATTTACTGAGCTGAAACTGAACAATCTGGAATTAAAGTCATTCACCGTGAGGCTAAATAAAGAGACCTGAATTCAGAAAACTGCAATAAAGTCTTTTTTTTCATCTGTTCCCTTCCATTTATTTTGAAGGGAAACCTATTTTTAAATTTAATTAACCAGGCAAACCCCAATGAGATCATGGTCCTGCTGGGCCTGAAAGGAGCCGAACGTGCATGTTTTTGGACTGAGGCAGGAGACCAGAGAGAAAACCCACGCAAACAGAAAGACCCCAGAACGAACTCGAGCCTTGAGCCTAGGACCTTCTTACTGCGAGGCAACAGTGCTAACCACTAATCCATCATGCTGCCACATAGATATTTGAAAATAGGCAACAATATTAATAATATTAAATCACATTTTTGCTGATATATTTGAGAATAATCAACATTAAAGTTGGTAAAACTGAAATTTAAACACCTTTAATAGTGAAATCATGATTTCATTGACCTCACAGCTCTGATGCTCTTGTAATTCTAATTCTTGGTGGTGTGTATAAAATAAACAAGGTTCCACTTTCTTACCTGCTTTCTTAGGAACCGGCATGGTTCTCTTGGTTCCTGCGCCGCCGTTTGGCATCAATGGCAGAGCTCTTGTGAGAGTGCTCTGCGAGAAGTCAGAAGGTCACTTTATAAACTTCCAAATCAACAGGGAGGGGGGTAAATGAGCGAGTAGGAGGGAACCCGTACAGGTTTTGGTCAGGTCGGGTTGAACCGATGGATGGTCCGGTTCTGTCACACGAAACTCGTGATCCTTTCTACTCAGAATCAGTCCGGTGAAGGAACACAAGCGCTGAGTGCATCCCAGCTATGCACGCTTGTTGACAAAGCAACAAGCTGAGCATGTGCACACCCAGATGACGTGAAGTTACGCCACAAATCTGAGTTTGGAGGGGAATAAATTTCCAGCCGTGCGCTCTTTTAGATTCTCCAAACTTAGAATGAATGAGCCGCTACCGTATAAACTGACGATGACACAACTGTTGGCTGGTTTTCTCTTTCTGTATGGAGAGTTTGATCCATCAGTATGTGAGACAGAAGCCAGTTTCTCACCGGGGAGCTGTCATCAACCTGAGGTCTCATCAATCAATGGCTGCTGCTGGTATGTCCCGGGAAAAGGCTGGAGGCAAAGTGTAGAAAACTTCTGGTGCAGATCTTAAAGTTGAGCAGATGTTGACATCATTATCATTCACCGATTCACAACGTTGACATCAGCAAACCGCTCACCCACACGACGCCGTCTGCCATGTACAGTGAAAACCTGGATTCATCCATGAAGAGAGCACCATCCAATGTGAGTGTAGAGGGGTAAAACAAGTTGTAACAAGTAAATGAAAACACTAAGCATAAAATTAGGCACCCCAACATTATTTTTCTTTTTTTTATCCTTAATTTCTAATTGTAATAAGTGCTTTAGTGTTATTTCAGTTACTCGGTGCGATTCCACATACAGCCGCTAGGGGGCGCCGGTCGCATCGGTGTCATAGAGAGAAGGTGCGCAGTGGGCTCGCAGAAGAATAAATTCCTGTTAGATGCTAACGGAAGCTCAACGTGTCTTATCTTTTCTGTGTCACAGGTCAGTAAATATGTATGTTAATGTCTACTTTTAAATATTGAAGATGGTTATTGAATCGCAAGTCAACTAGTGAGTCGTGTTATGCGGTTTATGATTAGTATTTTGTAGAAAACGATATATTTCTGGATGCTAATTAACGCTAACGCTAGCAGATTTTTTGTGTACTGTTAAGCTAGCTGAGCAACAGGACTGCTAATTCACTTTGAATTTATTATATTTTGCATTTTTCTTTATGGGTTATTGCAAAAAACAGAAATTATATTGTTATGACATAAGAGGAAGTAACGGCTGCATATTATGTGTGAAGCTCATTGCACCTTTTCAGTTTTGTAGTTAAAGATTAGAGTTTTTTGTGTTAAGAGAAAAGCTGCAGTTATTCTGTTAAAACAATGGATACAGTTAAAAGCTAAAATGCTTAAATATTAAAATATATTTGCAGATTAAAAATAAGTAAAAATGCATATTGGAGTTAAAGCATTGACCTAAAAACACTGTAATATGATTTAGAGAATTAAAATCCATCTGTGAAAAGATTTTGTTGTGATAAAATGCATGTTAAAATAATTTTTGCTCTGTTTAAAGGGATTGTGATTTATTGAATCTAAGGGCTGTTGTTACTCAGTGATTGATACCTGAAGTATTTGATATGAGTATGTTCACTACACAGAATAAACCTTCCTGTTAGATGGAAGCTCAACGTGTGTGTCTCATCTTTTCTGTGTCACGGCGTCACACGTCGAGAGAACAAAATCACATTACCCCCAACCCATCCAAGGTTGCCAGGTAATATGAGCATTTGCCCACTCACGTCAGTTATGTAGACAAAATGCTTTCAGGTGGAGACCCCGATGAGGATGACAAGCATGCAGATGAGCTTCCATGAGACATCCTGATGCATGCTCAATAATCCAGGTAGAAAAATCTAAAAAAGTTAAATCTGGTCCTCTGGACATTCAAAAAAACCCAAAACAAAGCAAAACAACAAAAAATGTAGAAACGTTTCGTCTCTCGTCCGAGAGACTTCCTCAGTCTGAGGTGCTGTATTCAGCTCAGTCTCTTAAATAGCACCTTCTCAGAGTGGATCAACCAGTTTGTTGTTGACAGCCAAAACCAGCTGATCACATGCTCAAGAAGGACCATCAGCCTAACAATGGATCATTAGCACACTGATGGCTGTTTACTGTTCACAGGAGGTTGAGTGATACTAGCAATAACAGCATTGTAAGAGGGACAGTTGAACCCGGAGGCCTCCACCCCTGTTTAACGATGGACGATTTCTTTTCACAAAGATGGCCTCCGTTATTCCTCTCTATCAAGAATGTGAACATCTTCATCCCTGAAAGAGTGACCGCTGGCCTGGAGATGAGTTTAGACCGCAGAATCCTGGCCTGATGATGTTGATCTTCTGTGCTGGGCCATCCTTTTGGCCAGTGGCTGTTTAGTTTCCCCAATGTAAGACTGATCACCCTCCTGACACTGAACAGCATACACAATATTACTCTGATTGTGCCGGGGGACTGGATCTTTGGGATGAACCAGTCTTTGCCGTAATGTATTTTGGGGTTTAAAAGCCACTGGGACGTTATGTTTAGAAAATAAACGTCTCAGTTTCTCTGATACTCCCTCAACATATGGAATGACCACTGGTCTGGGTCTGGGTTCCTCCTTTTCACCTGATGGCTGACTGGAGTCCTGTTTGGGTTTCTTCTCTGCTTTCAGGAAGGCCCAGTTAGGATATCCACATTGCTCTAGAGCCTGTCTTGTGTGGGATTTCTCCTTCTGCCTGGCTCCTGAGCTAGTGGGGACGCTGTCTGCTCTGTGATACAGAGTCCTGATGACTCCTAACTTGTGCTCCAAAGGGTGATGGGAGTCAAACTGCAAATACTGGTCTGTGTGGGTGGGTTTGCGGTACACCTCAGTTTGCAAATGTCCTCTATCAGAGACTGAGACCTCACAGTCCAAGAAAGCCAACTTGCCATTTTTTTCATCTTCTCGTGTGAACTTGATGTATTTATCCACAGAGTTGATGTGGTCAGTAAAATGTTGGACTTCCTGAGATTTAATTTTAACCCAGGTGCCGTCAACATACCTGAACCAATGACTTGGTGGTGTCCCTGAAAAGGACGTCAAGGCTCTCTTTTCTACCTCCTCCATGTACAGGTTGGCAACAATAGGAGAAACTGGAGACCCCATAGCACACCCATGTTTCTGCCTATAATATTGCTCCCCATATGTGAAGTAGGTTGACTGCAGGCACAGTTTCAAGAGTTGACACAGTTGTTCTGTGGAAAGCGTGGTCCTGCTGCTCAGAGTGGTGTCTGATTTTAATTTTAAACTGACCACCTCTACTGCATCATCAACAGGAATGCATGTAAAGAGTGATGTGACATCAAAAGAGACCATTGTTTCATCACTCTCCATGATGACATCCCTCACCTTGTCCACAAAGTCCATGGTGTTCTGTATGTGGTGTTCTGAGCTGCCAACTGAAGGGATGAGTACAGACGCCAGATATTTGGAAACATTGTAAGTGACAGAGTTAATCATACTAACAATAGGTCTTAAAGGTACACCTTGTTTGTGGATTTTAGGTAAACCATACAGACTAGGTGTGGCCTCCCCTGGGTACAGTCTGTGGTACAGACTACACTAACACAGATTTACACACATTTGTGAACAATGTCTGAGAGAAAAAGGCCTTCATAAAAAAAAACGCTCAGCCACAGCTGCCCCAAAATGGAAGCAGAAACAAAAGTGTTGCATTTATATTTTTGTTCAGTGTATTTTGGAGTCTTGTTCCAGAATGATGGCAGGATTGTCATAATTATTCAAGATGGAGAGAGTTTGGAAGGTGACTGAGCGAGAATAGACAAGGCAGATGAATCTTGGGTAATGTAGTTGAGGTTGATTTATCTTTTTCCTTTTCTCAGGAGTGAGTTGCTCACTTTTATCAGGCCTTTCCACACAAAGGAGATCAACTGGAAGAAGATTCAAAAACACTTTTCTAACTCAGCAAATAGAGTTCACCGTGTTGATAGCTCAGCTCAGCCTTAAGTACATGTCAGCAATCAGCAGGTACTGGAGCAGCAGCTCCCTCCACAGGACACACAAAATGGTCTTCTCTCATCTCATCTGGGACAGGTTGGAACTCCCAACAAGATCAGGACCTTGTCTGTAGTACAACGGATGTTGCTCTGGTCCGTCATAGTGAAGAAGGAGTTGAGCTGAAACTCCATCTCCACTCCAGCCCTCACCTGTGACCATATGGATCATAACAAATAGAACGATCTAAACATTTCTGAACACCAATAAACCCCTGACAGACCGTCCTGTAGAATCATGATCAGTCCCAACTTATATGGACACAGCGTTCATCAAGCGGACGCTTTGATGCTGTGAACGCAGAACAGGTTTTAGTTCTAATTTACAGATGAGCCGTTAATAAAGCACACCGAGTCAACGTGAGCAGATTGATGGTGTGAAAACGACAGCTCAAATTACCCCCCCCCCCCCCCCCCACTTACAGTGGAACATAAACCTTTTAACGGCTTCTAAATCACGAGATGTCAGAGGAGACGAGGAATGTGCTGCCTGACGTGGAGCGTCACGCTCACACCGCTCTCCACGCAGCTGAGGTTTTATTAAAACCTTCTGCAGCCTGAACGTCTCCCACCACCACCAGGGTTCAGTCTGCTCTGCCCGCAGCGCAATATTTTACTTTTATTGGATCATTTTCAGAATAACGCATTCCATTTACAGGACACTTTTATGTTTGTACATCTCAAAGTGCTACATTTCTGGAGTCATAGGAACTTAATTAAAAAATAAACTGATGAGACGGAGGAAACGGTAGCTTTATCGTTTGTGATTATGGGAATCATAATTTTAGATTAAAGCCTCAGTTTTACTCAATCGGAGTTAGTTTGCACAGTAATGCAGTGATAAATAAAATTTTTATCAATCTGATTCAAAAACGGTGACGGTTTGCTTGTTGAGGTTTACAAACGTCGCCAAAACGCCACGATCAAGAGACCGTTAACAAAACGTTTATTATTTTGATTCAGATTTTTTTGTTTTCATTCTTTTAGTGTGCAAAAAATATTGCTTCTTTTTGAGGAGGTAAGAGATAAAAGTATTAATCAAATTACCTGATCATCATTAGGTGGTTCTGCTGTCACTGGAGCATTCAGGTGTTTAACTCAACAACAAGATGGAAAGACATCAGCAATGACCTTAGGGAAGTAGCCTGTCAGTCTGGGAAAGGTCAAAGATCATTTCAAAATTATTTAGCGTCCATCGTTGCAGAGACAAAGATTATTCCCACGTAGAAACGATTAAAACAGTTACCAATCTTCACAGCAGATTCACCCTGAAGGTCAGACCAGGCAATGCTTGAACGAGCTCAGTCTCAGTGAGCAGGTCAGAGGTTAAAGGTCATGACAGGACAATTAGAAAAAGACTGGACCAGTATGGCTTGTGTGGAGAACTCTGAATGAACCACAAGACTTCTGGAACAAGAGAAATTAGATAATTTTACCCAGAATGCACTGAAGCACAACTGAAAAAACAAAATGCAGCTGTCAGCACGGTGGTGGAAGGTTAATGGGATTGCTTTGCAGTCTTTGGATACCTAAAATATGAATTAAAAAAATATTAATATACACAGAAAATGTTATTATACAAATAAATACAATCACAATTCCTGAGTTGGTATCTTGTGAATCTGTTGCCACTTAAGCAGCAAAATGCTCCCGAGCTGTTATTTGTAACACTTATTTATTTATCCAACAAACTGGTACGTTTTCGTTTCAGCATTCAAAGTTTACTTTGTCCCATTAAGAGCATAATTGGTTTTGATGGGATTTGCAAATCGTATTTGTTTTTATTTACGTTATACAACGTTGGTGTGTGGCTTCAGCTGTTAACCTCTTTTCGTCTGCGCCGTCTGATCTCGTGCTCTTGGGCGGACAGCAGAAGCGATGAGTATAAACTTTAACAGAACTCGATGGGGCGGGTCGTTCTGAGAAAAGCCTTTCTGGTGATTAGAGGAGACGCTGCCGAAGCTCAACTCTGAGCCTCCCAAAGTAAGAGGATGTTCCTCACAGCCAGAGGTGCGGACTAAAAACAGCCAGACTCAGCTGACGGGAGGCCATGTTGATGCAGGGATGTTGTTTCTGCAGCCATGTTGGAATGAGGTCTGCTGCCCTGACTCATACTGGAAATACAGACTGGTCAGACTGTTCACTTCAACATGTAGTCTAATAAAGACCAAAACAATGTTCTTTTTTGTATTGCATGATCATTCTGATCCAGCAGCCACTCGTTTTTTTTCTGTTTTTAGGCATTTAACTACTTCTGCAGATTTGGTGCCATTTTAAGTGTTCATGTATCAAAACATGTACATAATTTCCAAACCTTCACGTCATCAGGTCCTTTACCTTCCCCTTCATTAGTTTCAGAGCTTTCTGAACTTCCCTGTCCAGTTTCTATGACCTCTACTCTTTCATTCTCTTCATTCATTAGCTCCTCAAAGTACTCCTTCCATCTTCCCATCACACTCTCCTCACTTGTTAACCTGCTGCACATCCTTTCCAGCCTGATCCCTCTGTTTTTCCAATCTGTACAATTCCTTCTCGCCCTCTAGTGTCCAGCCACCCATACACATCATACACCTTCTGCTTATCGCCACCTCCCATTGCTCTACATTGCATCTCCTTATATATTTTTTTTGTTGCTAATTTTAGGTTTTAGCTAGACATTTGCTTTCAGCTATCTTTTTAGTTAGCATTAGCAAATTGCTACTTTTAGATTTAGACATTTTAAATTAATCCCATCCCAAGGTAAACTTTTAGCTAACATTTTGCTACTTTTCATTAGTATTTCACCATTTTAGCTAGTGTTTTGCTCATTCCGTTTTTAGCCGTTTGCAACATTTAGGTTTTACCACTTTTAGCTATTTAGCTACTTATACCTGTCCATTGCTACGTTAGTATTACACTGCGTTTTGTTGGCATTTTGCTACTTTAAGCTTATGATGACACTTTAGCTTCCTGCTCAGATTCACCTTCGGTAAATTTCAGAATTCATACTACATCTAGCAGAAACATAATTTCTCTAGTTTAAAACTGATACACTCAATTTTTTTTTTTTTAACCATCAGTTTAAGTATTTTGTGTTTTACTTCCAGAAAGTTGTTTTGGGAACTACACTGAATTTGTCTAAACATTTACACGAAGTTTCCTGATACACCTGAGAGGATCCTGTTTTTCAACAAAAGATGACATCAGCAGTTATTCGGTTTGACCCACGTCTGAATTCAACAGGTTTAAAGTTCTGAAAGCACTTTTCAGTTCAAACGTGGCAAAACGGACAAGATGTGAGCCAGTGACCGGCAGGAAACCAAAACATGGTTAATCTCTGTCAGAGGGATAACGGTAATGTTCCAGGTTTCTGCTCCATCGTACTCTCTGAAACTTTTTAAAGAAATTCTCTGACAGAAGATTTTTGCAGAAATACAGAAAGAAATTATAACTTGGTTTAAATTATTTTTAATGCAACCCATTTTTCATTGAAACAAGTTCCAACTTTGTTATTAACATCTTTTTAAGTTATCAGACTTCTGCTACAACTAGAATGGCATAAAAAAAGACAAAGTAACAAATACTTTATTTTCACATTAGTAATAAAAGTGCAGTCGTCTGCGGGTCACAAGATCTGCTTTATATTTAACGAGTTAAAGATGCATCTGAGAAATATTCCTCCTTAAATAGACTTATGTACAGGAAATTAAAAACTGTGGGAAAGTTGTCATTCAGTGAACAAACTGTCAGCGTGCCGATCATCGACCGCCTCCATTGGCTGCTCCACCGCCAGCGCCTCCTCCTGATTGGTCCTGAGCTCCGGACATCATCAGGAAGAGAACGAGAGGCACGATGTACATCCACTGGGGGAGAAAAGGAGACAGAAAGGGGAGCGATTAGAACAAAATACGTTTATGAGAAAACTAAGACGGTAATCGATCACATTTGTTTGGAAAAAGCTTCCAGATTTTTAAGAAAATCCCAGATTAGTTCATATTTATTTTGTAAACAAAACATAGGAATTAAAAAGGTAAAGAAATTTAATGCAACTATAGAGTAAAGAGCTCAGGGTCAAACACCAAACACACTTAACACATTCAATTAAAATATTAAACTTGGAAAGGAAATGATTTTGATTCAGTAAAGTTTAATCTTGTTATCTGACGGTGTGTTTGTTATTAAACCTCTGAGGGAGCACCAGAGTGGACAAGAGGTGGGAAACTAGGAGTTGTGTAAAAAACACAGAAACAGAGAGAGGGGGGTCAGAATGAACCACAAGGAAGAAAACTGTACTTCTGTGGGAATCAGCTCTGCTCTCTGCCGCCCCCTGATGGGGGCTGGGCCGAATTGGAGACCATGAGGAAGATAGCACCTCCAAGAATCAAATACCACTGGAACACAGCACAACATCGAGTACACTGTCACTGCACAGCAAGGAACACACACAGCACAACACAAAGGATAATGAATAAATTATAATTATAAGACGAGACACGCCGTCTGACAGGATTACTGTCACAGAAACGTCACTCAAATTGAACTCCAACAGCAACATAAAACATCACACGAACAAAATCTGACTTGTTGTTTTCATGTTTCAGTAAAGGAGACATCACAAAGAGAAGCACGGCGGATCAGAGCTCCAACAACCAGAACCAAAGGTTCTGCAGTCTGATCAGCTAGGTTCAATTACAGCAGACAGCTTTCACAGACGCTTCAGAAAGAGTCAAATAAACCAAACTAAAGAAGCAAAAGGAAAAAACACTTCTAGTGAGAACAAAACAAACAAAAAGTCTCGCAAGTTGTAGAAAATAAACCAAACTATGGAAATGACATTTTCTGCAAAAAATGCTGAAGAAGCTGAAACTTGAGCTGGTAAATGCAAAGGCAGCAAAACACTAACTAAAAGCTAAATGTAGCAAAACAGTAACTGGAAGGTAAAAATTGCTAAAGATAAAAATCAGCAAAAAGTTAGCCAACTGTAGCAAGAAGTTCTATAAAAAGTAGTAAAAAGCAGAGTCAGTCCTTGGACAAGTTTGAGCAAACTTCTTCGAAATGAGCCGAACATTATGATACACGAGAAGCACAAAGACAGAAAAATAAAAAAACTGAACCATATTCAGCATTCACAACTACAGACAGTCACAAACCTCACTCATGCCACACACACGTGAACTCGTTCTGAACCGTTAACCTAACTTCTGACCACATCGTGAGGTTTCAGGCACAACCTGCAGCCGTCGACGTGTGAACTCACATATTTAGCGAAGAAGGATTTCTGCTCCTGTGGATTCTTGCCTTTCTTCTCCGTTTCTATTTCCATACGTTCAAGGAACAGAGCCGTCTCAGGTCTGGAAGAAACGCTACAGTCAGCTTTCAAACCAAAATCTCACCAGATCAAATAAAAATGAATAAAACTCAAATCAGACGAGCAGCTGACTCTGGTCTTCTGATGGATGAAAATCACACAAGTCTTCACAAAAGTACGGAGTGGAGATAAGAAGTTCTGACCCAGGAGCGTTGACAGGCGCCATGATGCTGAGTGTGGTGTTGAAAACCTCCAGATCCACTTCATCTTCAACCTCCGTGCCCCTGCAGGCTCCAGGGATCGTCACTATGGAGACGCCGATCAGGTATCCAGAGACGTCGGTGTGGAGCGTGATCACGTCGCTCAGGTGGGACTCGACCATCGCACACTGAAGACCACAGGAGAACACCGCTTCACATGGAGATTTAAATCATTTTATGTCCTAATGACAGAAACTACATTTATCTAAGGACTTGGGAGCAAATATTTATAACCTAACGAACTAGACCTTAAAAGTCTGCCAAGCTGAAGCGATTCCAGCAGAATACGTACATTTTTATTTAACTTGAGCACACACTGCGGAAACCCTCGTACCAACTTTAAACAACTAGAAGGTTTGGGGGGGGAGACTGCCATGAGATGCCTGGAGTTAAATTTCTGGATATTATTTTGAAGAGAAACATTTTCAAGGTTTGAGCCGACGTCCCTCCTCAACAGCTTCCTGCTGCCTTCAGCTCAGATCGTCTTTATTCTGTGTCTGATTTAACCACTTTTTATAAACACCCAACTCTTTACCACTGATTTATGTTTTTAGCATTTTATGTTACTATTCTTTCTGTTTTACACGCTCACTTTCTGTCTGTTGAAGCTGCTCATTAACAAGTAAAAAGTATATATTTTTACGGGGTCGCTTTAACCAAAATAACAGCAACGGTTTCATCTAAAAGCACAGTTTTTTAAATACGTGAAATACTTACGGCTCTGACAAACGCTGTGAGGTGGCCTTCCATCTGGCACTCCGTCTGTCTGTCTGCCTGCAGGAAAACACGAGGAACCCTGATTCTGTAGAGGCCGTCAACCGCAGCCACTTCCTGAGCAGACGACAAACGACTTCAGAACTTTTCAGCACAATCTCCACTTTTGACTTGTGCTTCATTTCCACAGACATATTCGCTCCTAAATTCAGTCAGATGTTTAAACCGTTGCCACGTGTTCGGTTTTGGAAACATTTCATGTTAAAATATTAAAACGGCAACAAAGGGACATTTGTTAAGGTTTGCTTTTTAAAACACTCAGTTTGTTCATCTTTTTTTTTTTGTTTACCATGTTTGTTTGGTCTTAGTAGAACGTGTCAACAAACTAATTTGAAACGTCACCAGGTTTGAAACTTCACCTTTTCAACCTGACGATATGAACCCACCTTCAGTTTTGCTCTGTCCTCCTCAGAGAGCTGGTTCTGCATCAGCGAGACGCTCGGCTCCCGCCCCGTTTTCAACAGTAACGAGCCTCGCACCTGAAACTTCCCTGCATCGTCTGGACAGAAAACACGGCATGAACAAAGAACTAAACGACTGCATGCTGCAGATGTGATCACTTCTTTTTCTGTGAGTTTCCACACTTTAAGAGGTTTGAAGGTTCCCTTTGTGTTCATATCTGGACTTTGTGCAAATTCAAATCTAAAATATAGTTTTTTTGGAAACAAAGTCCTTCACAGAAAGCCTTTGGGAGGAAAATAAAAAGGCGTAGGTAATTTAGAGAAAAATAGAGGAAATGTTCAAGTCGCAGCCAAGTAGATGAACTCTGAAGATCCACAATGGACCAAACTGTGGTTCCGGAAAGCGGTTTCATATTGTCCTAAGCCTGCAGACAGCTGTCAGAACAGAATGCAAACTGGTCAAAAAATGTGTGTTTCTTTCACAAACTTGACTCCTGGAAACATTATCTTGTAAAGCAAAGCTTGAGATAATTCAGCTTTTGTACCTTAAATAAATTACATTTTGCTCATCCTGCTCCTAATGTCCTGTCCCATACAAAAAAAATTACAATGCTGTGTCGAAGCAACAGTTTTTTCTCACAAAATCGATGACCAGGCACGACTAATAAGTGCAGTTCTTTCTAGAGACTCGTCTCATTTAGAGTCCAGCTTCATACAGATTTGCCCTAAATAATCTGCCAATTAATATACAGACCCGAATAGCGAAGACTGATTGGAATAACTTGGTGGCAATCTGGATATTTAGGACAGTCCTGCACACACGCAAACGTCTATGGATAAACTTCCAACAAAATCCTTTTTTGCATACTGCTGAGTAGATTAAAAAAAAGTGATTAAAAGAAATTAAAACTGTTTTGAATGAACAGAATACAAGTTGATGTTATGAGTCCAGTTTAGGTTATGAACTCAAGTTAAAAATGTCCTTCAAGCAAAGACGTATAGGTTTTAAATGACAGATACATAATGGCAAACTCTTTGCTTTTAATAAAAAATAAACAAATCTTTGTTTTAACATATGCATAATGATTTCAGGCTTGAGCAAATGTCTGATTTACCGAACAAGATGGCAGACACCTTCAGTTTAATTCAACCTGGTAAAAACCTTGTCTAAAAAAACAAAACAAATATAAGGTTATACATTTGTTAAGAGTTTGGCTCGTGGTATCGTAATGAATGAACAAACTATATTAGCAAGCTAGCGTATGATAAGATTGCAATGCAATTAAAACAATGTCTCACCGAGCTCAAATGAGTGTTCAAGAGGCACCGAGAAACCACTTAACTCAGTTTCCAAAGAATCACCAACCTGAGAATAAAAACAGAAATCCACATTTTAACATTTAGCAGCTCGTCATACTACAAGGCTACAAGCTAACGTGCTAGCTACGAGCTACCAAGTAATTAAAATAAACGTGAACAATTTAATATTTTATACTTACCCTTCTTCCGTTATTACAACATACAAAATCCGTGTATACGAACAACAAAACGGTGAAAAAAACGGAAACTTTGACTGACAGAGGACGAGACATTTTTTGGGCTAAAATAAGCCTGTACCGGAAGCCAGCAAAACGTACGGTACGGACCCCACATCCGGAGTTTTTCACAATAAATCGATCATGAAGTTTTTGGTTTTAACGTTATTTATATTTATCAAATTTTTAAACATTATTTGTCTACCTTTTAAATTTTTTATTAAAAGTTGAGGATAAAATAAAAGCCTTTATATAAATAAAAATAAAAATGATCATTTTATTGTTTCTGTCGGATCAAACGATGGTCTTCCGGTGATGCAATAACAACTTCTGGCCAGCAGGTGTCGCCACATCACCAGAATATGCCTCAACAACCTTCGTCTCACCCCCTCTGTGTTCCTGCAGCACTTCTTAATAAATATTTATGTCCTGTGAAGGAAATAAGGTCATCACTCTTTGTATACCCTTTTACCCTATACTTTTTTTAAAAGTCAGCATTCACTAATAAATTTAAACCAAAATTAAATGACAATAAGCCAAAAATGTTGTTTCTATCAAGGTGATGTGTTGATATGAGGCTGTCTACATTTGCCATTTGTTTAAATCAGCCAATTGTACAGCCACTGAGCTAAAAGTTGGTGTGGTAGTAGTTGAGATTGATCTCAAATACATATTCTGTGAGTTAACGGATTGTGTAAAATCTTGTTGCTTTTTATTTGTTTGGCATTTACCACCTTACTGACTGTTAACAAAATATCTCATGATCCACTGGATAGATTTTGTTTAAACTGTTCGGGAGTGTTAAATAGATGTACATCGACAACTGATTAACATTTTGAGTCCATGCAACTCGAGATGGCGACCACGGCTAATCGAAACCATCCAACTTAAAAATGGCTAAAACAGTCAGTTGTGCAGATATTGTGCTAAATGTTGACGTGGCAGAAATTCAGTCATTCACAACACAAACACGGAGTGTGACGCGACAACAGCTCCGTTGTTTCTCAACAAAAGATGATTTTTGGCTAAAACTCATGAAGTGAAAGGTGGCAAGCCTTTAATTTAAAGTAGAAAATTACAATAAATATGTCGTAATATTTTATGTTAAATAGTTAAATTTGACTATTGGTCCAATATAATGTATTCATTTCTTCAGATTACACATTACAGTAACCTCTGGATTTATTTTAAAGTTAAATTGCACAAAGTTTTGTTTTTACAGCAAATGCACCGTATAGCGTCTTTAAAATCATCACGCTTTTCAAAAAGGGTATGCCCTGTTTGGTAGTTTTCTTCCTTGTGGCTTCTTTCTTGGTTTATTAGCAGCATCCCATCAATTCATCAGGCTCAATGAGCGCCGACAACAATATGTGGCACCTCCCAGCCAGAATTCACGGGTCGTTGTTCTCTCTCTGCTGGCCTGCAGGGATCAGATTCTGGCTCCAGCTGCTAATTTAACAAGCTGACAAAACACTGCTGAAGAGTTTGGGTCAGCTAAAGGGCACAATGACAGGAAGTGCACTGACGGGTCGGAGCCAGAGGTGCCTAAAGAAGAAACGTATCAAACCAGAGTGAAGCTCTGCTGAGTGTGAGTGATGTAAATTATTTCTCAGTGCTTTTTTTTTTTTTTTTTTTTTTTTTGGCTGAAGATTTCTGCTGACACGGAGGGAAGCTCGTGTGGATAGAAGTGAAAAGCATCCATCACTTGAAAAGTCAACATTTTAGCATCAAAACACTGAATTCAGAGATATTCTTAGAAAGTCAGTTCTATTTTTGGCATCAAACTTACTTTAATACCTTTTGTTTAAAGAAAACTTGTCGAAGTTGCTCTGCTGGAGGTTGTCACAAGTTTTAGTTGTTTTTTTGACATTCTGGAATAAAGTAAATTTCATCTTATACTTTATATAAAATGCACTGGTAGAAATTCAAAGGATTTTCAGAATAAAAGCAGCATCTAAATCCACCCAAAACGGAACGAATCGCAGATCTGATGAGATCATTCCTAACTTCAAGGTTTGACCAAAACGGCTCCAACTTTCTCAACAAACGAGGATTTTACTCTAAAACTCTGGCATGAAAATTGGCGGGCAATATGCATTCCTTAAAGCAGTTGTTCCCAACTCTGGTCCTCGACATCCAGGAAGCAAACTTCAGCTGTTGGCTCAGATCAGCAGGTCACTAACATAATAAAATGTTTCTTTTCTGAGATCCCTTCTCATAATAACTCATTAAAACTTCAAAAACATGTAAAAAAATAATTTTTTCATAACTCTCAACATCCAAACTGATGCTCCTCGCAGCCCAAAGTATCACAGAGGAGCTCCTGTGTGAGCGAAGAGCAGCTCGTCGCTGAGGCCGAACTAATGAAAGCGTTAAATAAGTCGGGTGTCATCGTCTGCAGCGGATCACTGGATCAGGTAGGTCACAGAGTTATTCTGCCGGATCGTTCGAAATCCATAACTCCTGGATCATTTCTATCGATTCAAAGTGTGAGCATAAATCACCGCGCAGCAGCTGCGAGCGTCAGAGGGACGCAAAAGAAGTGATTCGTGTTCAAAACGTGACGATTGAACGTACGGTGAGTGTAACCGTTAATGTTCTGCTCAACCTCTGCTCTGTAATCGTCCTTGAGGCTGTTTGTCCGAACTGAAACAGGACGAGGAGAGAATTCATCACAGAAGATGTTTAGGTTCACGTGAAAAAGAAGATACGTTTTCCTAAATTTTTGAAAGGACTTCCCGTCTCCTGCTCCTGCCTGTCATGGCGGCCGTCTCCACGATCCTCCATCTGCCTGCACGGACCGAACTCCACCGACCCAGTTCTGGAGGGCAGTCATCGTCTGTTACCGCGGTCGTTACTATCATCATGCTGCTAACAGGACCATACTGCTAACAGGACCATGCTGCTGACAGGACCATGCTGCTAACAGGACCATGCTGCTGACAGGACCATACTGCTAACAGGACCATGCTGCTGACAGGACCATGCTGCTAACAGGACCATGCTGCTGACAGG